ACACCCCACAACACTGCCAAACCTAACGGTAACGGTGAACAGATCGTTGCCACAGTATTATAAACCCTAACGCGATGTGATAAAATCTCTCGAAATTTTCCGCAGCGCACTGTGTATTTGGCGCCTATAATCGAGGGATTCGGTGTTACGTAACTAAAGCTCTGGACGCCCCTCGAAAAGTCATCGACTGACAATATTAACTGGACCTGATTTAGTTACTATAGCGATTTTTTTTTACCGATCTGGGAATTGGAAACTCCTTTGAATACCTGATATTTGTTATCAGCACCGACCTGCAGACCAAAAGATGCGTTGCCAAAGTTTTAAAAGGGTGGCTCCGTACGATTATCATCAGAAAAACCATAAAAGTATAATAATTCCATTTCACTCTCCACTTCTGTAAGAAAGGCTCGAAAGGCTGAAAATGTAATGTGGACAAATATCTCTAATAATAGGTCAAAGGTGTTTTCGGTACACCGTAACTTCCATAATTTTTCATAAAATTTAATGATTGCAACACCATTATAAAGCCAATGTTTGCCGCTATTATTGAAAAATAAAGTTATTGTTTTCATAAATAGAAAACTTTCGTTTGAAAAATATGAAGAATGTATGCTAATGCCATCTATTGATGATTGGTTTAAACGAAAGACAGACAAAACGTTATTCTTTAAAATAGGATAATTATGCTTCATCGATTAATACTTATTTGCACATTATTATATTATTTTACTCCACGAATATTTCGCACGGATCAACTAGTTTAGATATAATATTATGAATTTTCAAAGGCGTTAACTATTCGTGAAGCGCTTAAACATGGGATTAAGGCGTGTTATATTATTCGTACAAGGGAGAGGGAGAGTGTCCCAAGGGTGTTAGGGTGACAGGGTGACGTTATCGAAGCGTCGCAGATGCGGCGTCTTACCACGGTTAAGCCCGCTCCCGGCTCAACGATCAAGAGGACCTTAATTTTAATTTCTTCGTACCTAAATCGCTATTCGAAAGAGCGAGTCAAGAAACTCGATAGTCAGAGAACTAGTTAAACAAGTTGGCGAAGGTCGAATATTCCAAAGATCTAGTATAATAACATCTCATATATACGAACACTACTCAAAGAAACCATTTTTGTCAAGTATGTTGCTTTTCTTTTAAACTTAAATAATTGCGAATATTTCTATAGAATTTCCGAACAATGAAATAGAAATGGTATGAAAAAGACCTTACAAAATTTTGTCCTCGTATTCATGATTTATGTTGTATGATTCATGATCAGGGTATAATACCATTCGATAACATTTTAAACAACAGATTCAACTGTACAAAAAATAAAATTATTTTCTCAACTTTTTCTAGTAAATATTTATTACTTTTATTAGAAATTTAAATTTATATAGTGGTAGTCTCTGAACTTAAGATTAAACATTAAAATTTGTAGAAAAAAGGAACGAAAAGATTTTCGCCTCTGTGGGAACCTAACCCACGTCTTCGGGATTCGAACCCCGACGATCTAGTCATTAAGCTAAAAAATGCTAAAATACTTCAAATGCTAAAAAAACCATGTAGATAAAGGACGTTAAGAATTTCGACGGTGTGGTAATCAGCCGTTTAGTTTAGTGGATTTCTACTGAATATACCTAGCATTTATAATTTAGACATAGGTATACAATTTTATTCAAATAAGGTGAACCACCTACTCGCTTGGCAACTTTTCACATAAAAAAAGTATGTGCGTGTAACCTTTACGCACGATTGAAGTCAAACTTCTTTGGCGTTGACGGCATATATCACTGAAATGATTAAATATTTAGTAAAGTCATAAGTATATGACATATTTAAATATGACATATACTTATGACGTCAGATAAAGCGTAACCTCCGTCAGAAAAAATCTGAGTTACTCCCTAGTCGCCCCTAAAGAAGTTTTACTTCAAAAATCAAATAAACTCTGATCGTATGTCATAATCAATACTCAACACTTACACTATGACCAGGCTGTCATTTAAACTAACGTACTTTTGACATATCATTGTTAACCATATTGGTCCATATGAACGAAAACCACTGCGCTTATTATCTCATCGACAGCAATCATTGGCGTAAGAGATAAGTGTTTTAATGAATCCTATTAATTCCCGCCAAATATACCGTATTAAATCCGAATGACAGGTTCCCTAAAAGAGTATTCCATTTAAAAACCGCAATGCTAAGCTACGTCAAATAACAAAAGGCCTTAAACGACAATGTAAATGTGTATATCTCTTGGAAATTGCAGCATAAAGCATAGAGTCAAAGAATATATTCGCTTGGCGAAGTTGGAGTTTTAATACTATTTGCGGCATAAAGGCGGTTGGCGGGAAAAATTGGAAAACGTTGACAGCGCTGAGCGGCGTGATAACGTTGTAAGCATATTGGGTGTTGATTAGGGTTATCCTAAATTTCGTAAAATAAACAAACTTCTCCTAATTTTTTACCGGACAATATTAAAGCACAGGCCAACACCTTAACGAGAATAGCACGAACAATTCCGCATTAAATAATTACGTACAACAAGTATCTAGAATTGAAAATACTGCATAACAGGTAAAATTTTTGAGAAAGCCTGTTTATATGGAACTTTTTTCTGTTCTGATATAACTTTATCACATTATGGCGTTTATTTGTTGCGATACTGAATTTTTATTACTGTCACCTTAGTGATTCGCAATTAGATAATTTTCAACCTTTTTCCGCTGCGCAGTCGGGTAAAAAGGAAATAACTATTAGATTACCTAAAACGAAGAAGGAACGTTTTCGTTAAAGTAGATTATTTTTGTTACATTACACGAATAAAGTTACTTAAACTAAAGTAATCAAAGACTGAGCTGCGATTTAACGAATGTTACCAGTTTCATTACTTATCGATATTTTAAAAAGACGTCCGCAGGACCTAATTAAAATAAATCCGCTTTGTGGTTGAGATATAGATATGACTTGGCGAATTCATATTTGCTAGTTCTAGTAATGTGCCTATTAATATTCAAGCCCTGTTATCTATGTATTATTACTATTTTAAAGATGTATTCGAATGACTGACTATACAAACAAAATTCTAAATTAATTAAAGTCTTTATTACGCTACGTGATAATAAATAATATAGCATCTGTGGGTACTTTTTATTATATATACGTTCGATGTCGAGTCATAGCGAATAGAAGAAAATTAAAATTGCATTATGGAAGCCAACCCTATAGAAACGGAGGCTGCGGTTCAATGGAAAAATTGGAAAAAAAATTGGAAGCCATATTGCTCCACAAGTTCAATTAACGCGGGAGGCGAGCTTGCGGCTAGGCTTTGTGACAGCGTCAATTCAACCGAATTTATTTTCCTCACTTGCTTTTACACATCAGTTAATCGCTTGTTTTGGTTTCCGACGATGATTAAAAATTAAAGTCATGGTTCCGTTGAACGCGTTAATCTCATATTTGATTATGGGGACTTTTAACGGCTCTCTATTTATTTAATTTTTTTTGTAACAATACGCCATTTAAAAAATACCTCAATGATCATATCACGTGCAAAAGTAATATTATGATATTTTATAGGTTAAGTAAGTAAAGTAACAGCCTATACATGTCCCACTGCTGGGCAAAGGCCTCCTCTATACAGAGGGTATCAGGGCATTAAGTCCACCACGCAGCCCCACTGCGGATTGGCGGACTTCACATATCTTCGAAATATATTTTTTTGTTATTATTTCGAAAATATGCAAGTTTCCTCACGATGTTTTCCTTCACCGCGGAGCACGTGATAAGTCAGCACTTAAAGTTACTTCATTGGTGCCGGCACCGGGGATCGAACTCAGGTTGCTCGAGTATATTGAATTAAAGGCTAGCGCCCAGACACTGAGCTATTATGGCTCTTATTTTTATTGGTAATTAGTATAAATCTGCTCTAGAAATTAAATTACATATTTTAAACTTAAAACCGTCTTGTGAAACACAGAATGAATAAATTATATTACGTATATAGGATAGGGGTCGTTCAAGTATTACGTAAACAAACTCTGTGATTTTACCCAACGCCTCCTCCCCTGTATAAGATGATCTTCCCCTATCCCCAAACAATAAGACGAGAAGGTTTTTTTAATATTAATTATTGATATTAAAGTGTATTTTTTTAATATTTGAGAATTAGTGTTCTTAATTTATGGACATGCATTCACAACAATCACTCTTTTATAATATAGATACCCCGCTACCTTCAATACTGAGAAAAATTAACAAGAAAAACAAGTTGCACGTGTACAATTTTTATCATGCGGTAAGCAATGCTTAGTTCGTGATTCTTAGTCGAGATTTTCGCCGAGGTTATCGGCAGTTTAGCTTAATTCGTAAAGTGTCTAGGCGCGAAACCAGGCGACAGATTCGAATCCCGCCGCGCCGAAGGTTTTTGTTCATTTATCTACAAAAATTCATAATTTAAAGTTTCATCTCGAGTGCATAGACAAGCACCTAAAATAAAAATCAATCCTTAGAAATCGAGAAATGAACTAAAACGCGAAAAATTTTATATAAAACTATAGTGAATAGCACTAGAGTAGACTATTTAAACATCTCGTGCTTTGTTCAACAGAAGTTTTTCTCTCAGTTCGACGACAACATAAGGCTTCACATAATAACCCTTTTATTTTTTTTGCCGGCACACACGGAACACGAGAACACAATCTTCAGCGAACCCCGGCGCGACTGAGGCCTTCTCAGGTCTTCCACCCGGTCTATCCAAATGATGCCGTGCCGATGCAGTTGGTCCCACACCTGCCGCCCCGGGGCTTGGTATCAGGGGGGAAGGTGCCGGAAGGACTCCGGTGTATAGGCAACGGCAGGAGTCGTTAGGGCCACCAACTTTCGGGAGCATAATTCCGAGAGAGGCCGCTATTATAACTTTATAAATTATCCTAGCCATACTACAGCTACCGATCAAGCCGAGGTCCAACCCTCTCGGGCACCCTCGAATCAGGATGGTAAATGCGTATTGAGTAACAACCCAAGCTGAGGTCCCCTCTCGGGGGCCCTTGAGCCTAGTTACTTCATGGAGCGTCTGCCAAAGCGACCTAAGAGCTTGGCGGTACTTATAATAATAACGTAGCGGCCAGAGCCGAGGCTCCCTCGGCCTCGAGTTTAGTCACCCATAATTGAGTTACAGACTAGGCATCCTCAGCGTAGGGGCACCTCAAGCCCGGTGGCGGAGACAGGCAACAAAATTGCACGTTTGGCTCGTCCGTTTCTGAACCGTCTGATCCTGAATTAACAACAAATATGTTCTTTTTTACTAGATGAGTATAACCAAAGAGAATTTATAACCATAACATTTGAGTACGCAGACAGAGAAAACAATTATTTTCTCCGTCTACCGGTTTACGTTTGAACATAATTATAAAACAAGTCTTCTTCTTCTTCTTTCTCTCTTTATAGCTTCTCTTATATATAACACAAGTCTCTGTAGAATCACACCGTTATGTCATGAGGTGTCAAATAACTCCGTGCATATAACAATGTGACTCTATTAATTACTTTAATTATGTACTTGTCTAGTATATAATTATTATTTTATCTATTTACATACTTAAATCACGACTGTTTCTACAGTTTGTCAAATACAGGACGATACGCGGGACATTGACATTTATAAACTAAAATGACATTACGAAATAAAGTACCACATTGTTTACATTTTTGAAGTGAAACTTCTTCAACAAGGTTGCGTTAAATGTTTAACGCAAGCAACCAGACGTTTAACGGAGGGGGCATGAAAGCAATGTTGCGTTAAACATTCAACGCTCCTGGGGAGGGGGAATAGAAAGAGACAGAGCGAGAGTGAATGCGTGCCACTCGAAGTCTCGATGTTTCACTTCTTCCGCGCGGATGGACTCCCCGCACTTTTTTTATTTGTTTAAAAATACGGAACTTCATATACGAGATCCATATTTTTATGTTACCTAATGTTAATGAACCGCGTATCAACCCATGTTTAACAGACTGTAGTCACATTCAAAATAAATAAACATTTACATATGTACGTAAAAGATAACAATCGATAGTATTATTCGTATTGGAAATATTCATTTAATTCATTGTATATTTATTATCTGTCAGGTTTGAAGTCTTTCTGTATAAATCTAGTCTTTTTTATAATTAAAACTTAAAAATAAAAAGCACAGCTGATTGTGGATTGTGATAACTGGTAAATAGATAATACGCATTATTGCATTTCAAATTATCATTAAACAATATAAAATTACTAATTTAACATTTGTAAGGAATATATTATTAGATTGTTTGATTTATTTAGCAAAACCTAGTAGTAATAACCCATTTTTTAAGCCGGCAGCCAGTAATCGCTTCAACAGTTTTCAAAAATAGCATTAAAATGAAAAATAAACAAACGAAACAAACCAAAAAGAAATACAATGGAAAGAAGTCTATATCTTTTTCGGTATGCTTTTATTATTTATATTATGAAAAATCTATTAATAAAACTGGTATAGGTGTATGAAATTAATTTATTGTTGTATACTTTCAGATCGGCAAGATATTCCTCGTTTTCTTATTATTAGGAGGTGTAGTATCATACTATATTTATAAAATGATCATGACAATCCCTGATCTACCAAAAATAGATATGAATGAATATTGGGGTCCATACCCCATGGACTTAAAACAAGATTTGTCAATACGACCTTACCAGATAGAATTTTCAGATTATGTAAGTATATTTCATAGTAAAAAAAAAATAAAAGAAATAATTACCAAAAAACAATTTTCTGTATACATTGAGAGAGAGAGAGAGAGAGCTACTGAGAAATAATTAATTATTGAGTAATATTAAAACAAGTCATACTTAAATTTTTCAGATTGTTGAGGACCTCAGAGAGAGGCTTCTTCATCGGAGACCCTTTGTTCCTCCTCTAGAGAACTCTGGATTCACTTATGGCTTCAATACCAACTTTTTAACCAGAGTTCTAGATTATTGGCAAAACAACTACAATTACAAAGACAGGGAACAATTCTTTAATAAATACAACCATTATAAAACAAATATCCAAGGCCTGGATATCCACTTTATGCATGTGAAACCAAATGTCTCCTCTGAAATTAGTGTGAGTATTATAAGTATATTAAGCTTTAAATATCTCATGTTCAACATATTTTTAATGGAATATCAAATCATAAGATCTTGAAAGAGCATTTATACAATAACAAGTTTTCATCAATTATTCCATTTCATCATTATTCCGGTTATTTACCCTTATTAGTTGTTATAAATACACTAACATCTTAGCAAAGCAAAGGTTTAGTTTGATGAGTAATGAATCTAACAAATGACACAAAGAGTTGACTTAGTTGAGTAAAGTCACAGAAACATAGACTTAGAAGTAATGGTGATTTACAGGGGGCTATTATAATAAAATGGGATAAGTGAAGGTTTTTTATTTGAGAAGGTGGCAAGCGAGCTGGCAGTTCACCTGATGTCGACTGATAACCACCACCCATAGACACTTGCAACACCCGTAAGGTTGCAGATACGTTGCCACCTCTTAATAAATTGGGCCCTGGGTACCTCACTCACCAGATGAAACGCAGAAGTATAACATTTCCACTTCCACTTCTGTTACCACTGATGGTAAACTTTAAAGTCATTTGTAATATTTATGCTGTATTTTATTAATTATTCTATACACACTCTTTTAAAATATGGAACAGAGGCCAGTTTTCTAAGTCAGTGTTAGAGTGATTAAAGTATATGTAGAACAAAAACTCATTTAATCTATTTTATATTTTAGGTGGTACCTCTGTTACTTCTGCATGGCTGGCCAGGATCTATAAGGGAGTTTTATGAAATAATTCCAAAACTAACAACACCCACACCTGGATACAATTTTGTCTTCGAATTGATTGTGCCAAGTTTACCTGGATTTGGTTTTTCACAAGTAAAAAAAACAAATAATGTTAAAGTATATTAGATTTATACAAATAATTTAAGATCTATTTATAGATAAAAAAGTCAAAGTGAAAAGATGTGTCAGACAAAGCATGAAATCAAATATTGTGCAATAAAAATGTCTACTTAGAGGAGTTTGCTATTGGCTTAAAATCACTGTCTATTCAATTGTTAAATTACATATGGAGATAGTATGTAAGCTGCATACGTAAGGTCAACATTGTAGGAAAAAATTATAAAAGAATATGGTAATTTCAAAATGTGGAGAGGATGATTAAAGAAGTTTGCAAAATTTGCAGTGAGTGGAAATCAAGTAATCTCTCACTATCTTCTGGATTTTGAGTGTAGTGCATACAGCATATACTGATATGTCAAGTAGAAATATAAAATGGATACTTTTCTTTTAGGCTGGAGTTCGACCAGGTCTAAGCGCTTCAAAAATGGCCGTTATTATGGCGAATCTAATGAAAAGAATTGGCCATGAACACTACTACATTCAGGGTGGTGACATAGGACATCATGTGGGCTCAGTGATGGCAACATTGTTCCAAGATAAAGTACTTGGTTTTCATACTAATATGGCAACAGTCATGTTTGGTACAATGGCAAATTTCTATATACTCTTAGGTACATTCTTTTTTATTAAGTAATTTTTAGCAACTTTTCCAATCAGAATACTTCAAAACCTATTTTGACCACATCTTATGTCTGGTTCAATATTCTATACATCTGTAGATTTGGTTACTAGGGATAGGTATTTGACATTAGCTGCATAATATTTACTTCAAAATTGGCAAAATATCACTGCTTTGTACTTGATATAGCTGAGCACTTTAAACTCCACATACTTTTTAGTTTCCAAACAGAATGAAAATGAAATTCATGGATATGTTATCTCAAAGAAAGCAGAAAAAAATATCAACTAACAACTGGTTGCTTATATGTAATGATATAATATGAATCTATGCATCAAAGAAGGAAATCTAAAAATTTCCATATGCAGTTTAAAATGTGAAACATTGTTAATTACTTTTTATACTTTAATACTTCAGTGTCAAGGAAGTATCTTGAATTAGCCTACTAAAGCTACTAATCTGTTCCTATATATTACATTCTAAGTCTGCATTTCAACTTTGACAAAATTATCCAAAGTATGCAAAATTATAGATAATATTTTTAAATTTAATCATGATTTTTCGAGTTTTTGTGCTGATTTAATCTGTATAATAAATTCCTCACTTGCATATAAACATACTTTCAGGTTCACTTTGGCCAAGTCGTATTATGGAACCGGAAATGCAAAGTCGTATGTATCCATTGAGTGAGCATTTCACATGGTTACTAGAGGAATCTGGCTACATGCATTTACAGGCAACTAAGCCTGATACTATTGGTGAGTTGACCATCCTTTTATATTAACCATATCATTAAAATTATAATATATAAAATTCTGGTAATTATGGAATGAAAAATAATTCGCTATATTAAAGAACAAGTAACAAATTTTTTTGATAAATTTTTAATGTTAAAACATTTATCGAAGTATTAACCTCTACTCTTTACAACTGCATTATTTTCAATGAAAATTTGCATTTTACCTTTTTCTTTAGAATTGATGTCATGTGCCTTTCAGGAAACTAGCATAGCTAGCTTCTTCTAACTATACCTGAAATGCAGTTTTGTCTTTTCCATCTATTATGACAATTTTATCACTACATCTCTTCAATTCATATCCTCCTACCTCATCTCTTTTTATTTCTTCGTGCTTAAATTTTAAATCTCATTTGAATATCACAGGTGCAGCCTTAACAGATTCACCAGCAGGGCTAGCAGCATACATTCTGGAAAAGTTCTCAACATGGACCAATCCTGACTTTAGGAAGGCTAGCGACGGAAACCTACTGGCGAAATATTCACTAACCCATCTCCTGGACAACATCATGGTGTATTGGGTGTCCAATAGCATTACAACATCATTGAGAGTATATGCTGAGACCTTAAACAAGAAGGAGCTTTCTTTGAGCTTTGATAAGTAAGTTTTTATTAACGGAATAATATAATGGCTAAACTCACGTAAAATCGGACCTATCAGAGCACCTTCATCAGGAGTGCTAGAGTCCCGTCATACGCTGAGATTGCAGCGCGCGGATTGACGGGTTGGTGTGCGCCAGCGGTGATGACAAATCCAGCGCGATGGATGTAATGTATGTATAAGGACTCCGTGGCGCAGTTGCCAAGGTATTGGCTTCGGCGTCGGAGGTCGTGGGTTCGATTCCCACACGGGACAACTGTTTGTGTACCCCACGGATAATTGTTTCGCATCTGTTTGTCCACGTAAAATTTATGTTTGTAGAATGTTCTTACAATACAGAATGTTATTCTAAAGTAGGGGCAATGTTTTATAAAAAATAAAAAAAAATGTCATTTCTATTCCTTAGGGGCACACAAAATGTTCTCTATGTCCACAGGCATCAGCATTATCATTTGTTTGGAAAGCGTTGGATAGTAAGATCCAATGACCACTGTGACCTAGAAGATCTATTATAGTATTTCCTTTAAAAGCCTCCTACAAACCAAGAACCTTAACAAATATGACAGTCGATGTGGTCTAAGGGTCTCTCAGTTCCCGACTCCTAATATTGACCAAAGCATCACATTCACAAATTATGTCAAACGGTGTCTCCTCGTCTTCACCGCAGAATCTACAGAATGGGCGTACGTTGGAATATGAAGTCTTACGTCGCAACGAATCCGCATCACCCGTGATGTTGCCTGGAGTACCGCCCAAATTTCTACAGACCCAAAGGCTTTCTCATAGTCCACACATGCTAGGACCCACTAAACTAGTTCTTATTTAAATTTTCAGATATAATTAATGTTAGCAAACAATCCAAAACTAACCATTTCTCCATGGAAAACTTATTATATTATATGATAATTAATGCATCCCAAAGACTACAAATTATAACAGAATGAAATTTTTTCATACTGTCTAAGCCTCTTTATAATGCAATTCTTTTTTTTTTATTGTAACTGTAATTTGTATGGCAATCTCTTACAGTATCCCAACAACAGTGCCAACATGGGGCATCAAATTCAAAAACGAGCTGATATACCATCCAGATTTCATTCTAAAGATGAAATACAAGAACTATCTCCAAAGCACGGTCGTGGAGGATGGGGGACACTTTGCTGCATTTGAGAACCCCCACATTATGGCGAAAGATATATTCCAAGCGGTGGATACATTCAGACAATTCCATTATGACAAGAGGTTTGGCTAATTTAAATTCAAATAGTTATAATGTTAAGACTTGACAGTTGTGTTAATCTATATTTAAATTCTTTATCAAAGTAAGTATAGAGTAGAGTAGAAAGTGGCGAGACTGTTCAATGTAATTCCAACTCTATGATAGGAACATTAAAGTTCATTTACCCTGAACTGTTGATTGAAACTGCATTTAGAGTAATATAAATATAATTAATGACGTCTCTACTTTAATAACTTCAATCAACAAAGGCTCAAAACAAAAACTTTGGTTTGTTTAAGAAAATGTAATCATATAATATTTTCATTGGAAATGTTTGACCGTATCCATAATTTTGTTACTAGCACATTATCACCCGCAACGGATAGCAATCTACCAATTTACGAGACTGCAAAAAATATTTACGAGTTCACCGTAAAGGACATCCATGGCAAAGAAATCAAGCTGGAAAAGTACAGGGGCCAAGTGGCAATAATAGTAAATGTGGCATCTGAATGTGGACTAACTGATAAAAATTATAAGCAGCTAAACGAATTATACGACAAATATTCGACAACGAAGAATCTGAGGATACTAGCCTTCCCATGCAACCAGTTTGGTGGGCAGGAGCCGGGGACTGTTAAAGACATATTGACATTCACAAAGAACAAAGGTGTCAGGTTTGATCTATTCGAGAAGGTCGATGTGAATGGAGAAAGTGCACATCCACTATTTAAGTACCTAAAACGGGCACAAAGTGGAACAATGGGCGATTTTATTAAATGGAATTTCTCTAAGTTTATAGTTGATAAAAATGGTGTCCCTGTTGAAAGACTAGGGCCAAATGTTGATCCATTGGACATGGAGCCTTTGTTGGCTAAATATTGGTAAATTAATATTGTTTTTTGTAAGTAATTCTTACACACATTTTTTGTAATGCATAGAAATAGTTTATTATATTAATCAATGAAAGCGAATTTAAAAACTAAGGAAAAATCTCAATTTTTAAAACTCCCTCCTTTGTGGGTCTTAAATATGTGGGTATAATACTGTGAAATAATATTTTAAGTACAGAGGGTTTTATAATGTATAAATTCCAATGTTTATTTCTTTTAGTTATTGTTTTTTATAATTTTCTTAACATTCCTTTAATAATGAATTTTATACAATTAATAATTATATTAAGTTTAATTACTAAAATATTATTTTAAAAATTTTAATATGAAAGCAATCATAATCCTAAGTGCTTTTTTTATTTGATGATTTTTATTAAAGGACAAAACCATGTTTTACTTAATAAAGTAAGTTATATTTTGGTTGTTTGTTATAAAATTTTTGCATATACAAGATAATGCATTTAAGCATATTATATTTTTGTAAGTCTTTTACGTTTTCATATTAAAAAATCTGTTAAAATTAATACGGAGTTATTATTTTCACACATACAATTAAGTCATCATGCTTATCAAATTGATATTTCGTGTTAATGTTAGTCACTGACACTGGAGCAAAATTTTCCAAGCTATTAATTCCAATTTTTTTCATGTACAATTCATCAATACTTTTTTAATTTTAGAAGATGGCAAGCGAACTCGCGGTTCACCTGATTTGAAGTCCGCCGCCCGTGGACATTTGCACCACCCGTAAGGTTGCGGTGCGTTGCCACGTTAGTGCGTTAATAAAGTGGGCCCCGGTTACCTCACAAGACAAAACTCAGAAGTGTGTGTTCCACTTCACGGGATCTTCTGTAAGATCGTGATACTTCCCCTGACGGACCTGACCATTGGTGCAACAGTGAAGACTTGCCTGGCCCTACCACTGTGTGTGTGTCAAGGGGATAGCCAAATCCCAAGAGCTCGATACGGACCCCGCGTTGGTACCGCATCTGGGCTCATGCGTGCGCGTTATCTACGGGCAAGGAAATTTACCTACGGGCCATCGAGGTTTGATATGGACTGTGGCCCCGATGGCTATTACTGTATTGATCGTTGGCTTAGGGCGGTGAGATCCGCCTTAGAAAGCGGGTGTACCATGTGTACGAGCTGTATTAAGTCGCCATGCTATCTATCCTCCTTTCTTTCCTCCACTTTGCTGACGAGCATATTACGCGTACAAAGTATCCAAACGGAGACGTTAAGGTTCGGTTGGTAATTTGCAGCGTTTACCACCAGCTGATTGGGATGGATTTCGGCTCTACGGAAGAACCGTCTTATTATCTCTGATATGATCGCGCAATTTCAAGAGCATGCAATCACTCTACAAACCTACTATTCTTTGATTATACCAGTTCAAATGGGAATGAGTTTATTTTGGACTATCTGAAGTCTCTTGTAATTTCTGTCCAACACATGATATTTATGTGAAAAGTCTGAAAGGAATAGGTGGTTCACCTGATGTTAAGTGATGACATCTACAACCAAAGGAGATGCAATTTTATCCGGATCTGGACAGGACTTTGATTTCAATTTTTTTAATTACATTACCTTTTCTGGGGTCACGGATATAAGTCGCGCCTGCTGGTAGTAAAGCAGCCCAAAGTCAACGTCTTCCATCTCCGATTGGTGAACTGAATTGTTCGCTATAAATACTTTTTCGAGATCATGAGAGGTGATAGATTAAAAAAAAATGACTTTAGATAGATGAAATGTAATATACATTTCATCTTACATTTCATCTATCTAAAGTTGAGATAAGATGATATGTATATTTCTTTCGATGAATAAATGATTTGATTTGATTGAATTTGTGGGATTAACCCATCCGCAGAAACGACCGTCGGAATAATTTCTGTCGGCATACGCAACCACTTGTCGATTACTTTGTGCACCAGACTCAGATTCTCTTTTATTAACTTTTTTAGGTCTCACGAGGTTCCAGACATGGAAGGGAACCTAAAATTATACTTGACTGCCCTTCACGGCAGATGGGCCAGTTTCTTATTTTCTTTGAAAAAGCGAACAGGCGTTTCACCTGCCGCCCAGACCTCTGCAACACCTCAGAAATGCACATGCCACATTTTAATATAGTGGGCTCTAGTAATTAACTCACTCACCAGACGAACATTAACACATTAATTATGGAGTATCACCTCCGATGTGTCCTTGGATTTTGTTGGTAGAGACTTATCAAACCAATACATGCATCATAGTAATTAGTATGTCACAACAGATTAACTTTAACTTATAGCACATGTAAAAAAAATTGAGCAACCTTTTACTTTACGAGCACCATAGCTTATGCAATATTCACATTTTATTTTATAATATCACTCTTTTTGTAAATTTTAATAATAATGATTACACTGTTCTGCAAAATCATCAATCAAACAATCAATCAATCAACAAACACAAATCGTAGTGGTAAAGAAATTTATTGGCAAAATATTTAACATGTCTGACTACTGAGTCTCAACTTGGAAAGATCTTGGATGGTATTCCTCGAGCTTGTCTCACTCCACTGCAACTCAGGAATACTCGATATTAGCTGCATATAATGGCATTGTTAATATCATGTGAAATTATTTTCACATTTATACATTAAGAAAACACCACATTTGAGATCAATATAATGAACCATGATAGTTTGATTGTCCATGCACTCACTTTCAAAGCCGTGATAGCTCAGTGCTCGCTTTTATTTCAATATACTTGATCAAGAATCCTGAGTTCGATCCCTGTGCCGGCACCAATGATTTTTTTTGTAATTTTAAGTGCTGTCTTATCACATGCTCAGCGATGAAGGAAAACATCGTGAGGAAACCTGCATAATTTAGAAAATATGTGAAGTCCGCCAATCCGCATTAGGACGGGTGGTGGAATATGCCCTGAACTCTATGTACAGACGGGCCCTTTGCCCAGCAGTGGGACTTGTATAGGCTTTTCTAATGTTTTTACTCCTTTTTTTTGCTTTTGCTTTCAAGCCCTAGACTATTAAAGCTTCTTCGAACGAAGTCATGGGCTAGCCAGAAACTACGAGATATATATTTCGCAAATGCTTATGTGTGCGTTATAAGGGAAGAGTGTAACCAACGGTCTATCGAGGTTCAAAACAGACCGTGACCCCCGATGACCATTGACTGTATTAATCGGATGCTTGCAAGTAATTAGTTGTAAGTGTGGTATTAGCAGTGTTTGTGGGTATAGTGTTGTCTAGCGGAATCTCACATGTCAACCTCAATAAAGTCCCAGTACTGACACCAACTTGTTTTTAATAGCCAAGTGCATAAGCTGTGTCTCCAGTAGTGGATTTCATGAAAACATTGCTACATAATGTTAAAACAACATACTTTGTATTTATTTGGTAATTGTAATGTATGTTGGTCTTTTATTGTGATCAAGAAATACCCCGATATCTAATAGTTTTAATTCTAAATAAGTTTTGCATTGAAGACAGGACGTCTTAAGAAAATTAACCATCAACCAAAATAATTTTATTTAGTGCATGTCAATAGATTATTTAAACGTGAGTTTAATAGATACTGTCAAAAAACTTTAGGCGGTGCCAAGATTCAAACCAGCATCCTCTACAAATTTTAATTCATCTTCAATGGGTTAACATTAAAATTAAATTGTGTGTACGCACGTAAGAAGTTATACTTCTTTAGCGTAAAAAAAGAAAAACAACTAAAAATTTTATCTCCTGTGCCTTGTGACTACTCCTTGCTTGTGAAAAAGACATTAAATGCAATTGATAACGATTTAATTAAATAAATTGGAATTATAGGTAAATTTTAAGAGAAATTATTGGTTGCATTAAAATATCGCTTTGCAACCAACTTCATCATGTCAATGTCAAATATGAAATGTCCAAAGACTACCCATTTTTCTACAGCAGCGGTGGCCAACCTTTTTTAAATAAAGTGCGCAGTGAAAAATTTAGTCAGCGTAGTGGGCGCTTCTTTTTAGCGATTTAAGATTTAACTTATTTAGTTTCAGACAAATTTACAAAAATTAGCTAAAAAGATTAATCACATAGCCAGGTAGGGTCTTCAAGAATATTATAAATTTCCCATTTTTGTTTTATTTCAACAATTAAATCAGTAAAGTTAAAAAATGGCTCTTAAATTAGTATTTTGATAATCTTGCAGCAGGTGTAGACACTGACGCAGGGCTAGCCACCACTGTTCTACAGCATCAATTTCACAATGTTTACAAGGACTAAGATAGAAATCTATTTAAGTTATACACTACATACTGTTTTAAATAAATCAATGATACTGCTATAATGGCTTGTTAAAATTCAAATAATACACAGTAATTGATAGTATTTTTTATTAAAACAGTGAATACTTACCACAAGATTCTTAAAACTGCACCGCAAAAGTATTATTTGAAAAAAATTGTATACTACATAATTTTCATTATCTATTAAAGTAATACAAATAAAAATAAGATTTTTTACATCTTTACTGAGTGGAGTTGTTACTGAAGAAAAATATATTTAAATGCTTTTTCCAAAAAGTAGTATACATAACAAACTAATAAAATAATACCATATAAGGAAACACAATTTACTTCAAATATTACTCTATTATAATCAAGTCTGAACATAGTCATGGTTAAGAATTAGTTTGGATATTATGCCAGCAGTGAGATATTTAGTCTGCTTTACATATTAAAAATATCACTTACAAATCCAAAACAAAAGTACATACAGAATATAATGAATTTAAATGTGGACATATAAGATTCTATCTTTTTGGGACAACATCGTAACAAAATTCTCAACCATAGCCTATATAGCAACACTTAAAACTCAAGGTATATCTTTAATGACCTCGGAGAGCTGTTCCCTTGTGAACATATGGAACATTGAGCCGGGTGTCATTGTGACGACCTCTACATTGCTTTCGGACAGCTTCTCCTCCATCACTTGCTTCAGAATAGTCAAAGCAGACTTGATGGCCTCCTTCAGAGTCATGGATTTGTGGTATACTTCCTAAAAATATAAGTTAAAATTAACTTTGAGAATTGCTAAATGGACAGAAAACGATGGCAATTGGGTTAAATGTAATAAAACAATTTCAGGTAATTACACTATCAATCATTAAATGAGTGAAGAGAAGTCTAGGATATATCCAATTGTACAAATCTAGAGAAAAAAAAAATTAAAACTTAAATAACATAGATTCTGTAATGGTCAGGTAATGGTACCACAGGTTTTTTTCTGAATAAATAAACAAAAATTTATTGTGGTTAAAAAAATAAAAAAAACTAATTCTACAAATAAATATAAAAACAACTTTTTCTTAATAATGGTATAGACATAAATTGTTTATCTTTATAGTATTTTTTCTTATTTTTCTAGATATGTTTAAATTACCTTCAAACTCTGCTGTGCCCCTTCACTTCCTGAACCAATAGCTTTAGCATCATATTGTACAAATGTTCCACTGGGATCCATGTGGAACAATTGTGGTCCCTTTTCATCAATACCTAAAAAATAAATTATTCAAAACTGTAATTTAACTAAATGTTTTATATAAACTCATTGATAATTTAATATAATTTTTTTCTCCATGCATAGTGGTTCCATTTATGATGAAACTTTGTACAGTTGTTTGCATTAATAAAGGTTTGTATTTATGTGGAGAACTAGATAGAATATGACGATTTATAACGAACCAGCAAACATGACAGCGACACCAAACGGTCTGGACATGGCAGTTCCACTATCATCATCACTATCACCAAACTGTATTGCCAAGTTGGACACTGCCTGAGCGCAGGACTCCACGGTCATGCGCTCATTGTAAACAAACCAATGGTTCTGACATTCCACTCTGGCCCGCTCCACAAGTGTTCTATAACAACACACAAACTATATTGTGATGAAAGATGAATATTTTCAAAATAATAAAAACAATATTCAAAGATATGTAGTCCAACAATCTGCAGTGGGATTGAATAGTCTAAGTCCAGGAATAAGCCCTAATACCCTTTATAAAGAAGGCCAAGTAGTGGGACATAAATATATTCTGTTGCTTTACTTTAAATTTATATTAACTAGATACAAATAAATCACAAAGTGAACACAACATAAACAAATATTATAACAATTATATAATATTACTTTAAAACAAATATAATATGTTCATCATAATCATTTCTGCCTGCTTGAGTCCACTGCGGAACATAGGCCTCACCCATAGACTGCCACGAAGCACAATGAGCCACCTTCATCAATCGACATCCCACACATTTGCACAGGCCATCACTCCATCTAATGGGAGGTCATCCACTGCGATGTATAATAGAACAGACTAAGCTCATTCATGCCGAGGTTTACCAACATTTTGACTGAATAGTATTTTTGAAAATAGGCTATAAAAATGTAGACCCAAAATCCACTACAATACTATTCATTATGGTAAGGTTGGTAACCTTAGATAGGCAATTGTAGCTTATTATATCCATTTGTCATTTAGCTTTGATTTTTCATTTGATAATTTGATTTCAAATCTCCAATGATAAGTGATGAGTTTATCACTGTACTTGGGGCTATTCTGAGACAGCTTATACTACATAATAATATATTATAAAAACTTATTCTGTGTCATGTGCATGCAAAAACTGCCTCCATGCATGACTGGTAATTTTATAATTTACCGAGAATCAGCCATTAATCCAGAAACAGCGCAAGCAATATGCCGATCCACTTCAACTATCTTTTCTATGGTTGTAGGTTCCATTAATGGTGAAGTAATTCTTTTCTCCACGGCCAGCACAACACCTTCCGAAGTGCAGATGCCAATTGCCGTGGAGCCAAGCTTAATAGCTTCAATTGCATATTCTACTTGAAAAAGTCTTCCTTCCGGACTGAATGTATTGACACCACGGTCATATTCAGAACGAGTTAGGAACATCTGAAAAAGTAAAATATTTGTCACAGCACCGGCATTACAGGTTAAATATAAATTGTTTATTAATGGATATGGTCCTATTCTAATATCAAGATTAACACAATTTTAAAAGAACACCAACTTACTGTATGTTGATTTTAATTTTGTATTATATGTGAATATAATGGAAAAACAAGAAATTGCTAAAGTGAGTAATCAAAATTGAAAGAAACTCCAAGCCGACCAATAAAAAAACACTACAGATCCGACCAGTCCTACTCGTGTGAGCACACAGATAAAAAATATAAATTCGGAAACTCTTTTTTTCTCTCTCTTTACTTTCTTTCTATAGGGAAATTCCCTTTTTGTCGTAGATAGTTTTAGTTTTGTTTTTAATAAATTGTAGACGGCTTTTTAAAATTAATAATTTATAAATATGCCAATAAAGGAAAAAATAAAAAAAGGTAAACCATAAAAACCTTATTCTTAAGGACTAGAATATTTTTAAAAGATTTTATTAAAAGTTAAAAACGTAAATTTTATTTTGTTTATTTTAAAAGTAACCGACGTTTATGGAAGAGGAAAAATGTATTATGTGCAGTGCATTGAAAATGAAAATCGTAATTTCTGATTTTCTGCCTAGTGCCTACTCCTCGCTTGCTTATGTATTAAACTACTCCATATTTTTTTTATCTTATATAGTGGTAGTCACATAAATAATACTGAAAATCTTAACATGTTCCTCGCTTTCAGATAACCACTAAATTATTAATATTATATTCATATAACAAAATACATCTGTTTTTAGTTCGTTAATTACCTTAAGATAATACTGTAAGCCAAAATGTATACATAATGGCCCCATTAGTAAGTACAATTACCTATTGCGTTAAACGAAAACATGACGAAACTTTTGGTATAAATACATATTGTGTATACTCTTCTGATTCTGGTCCTGACAGCGTCATTGTTACGGGTTTGTCACGTAAGTCGTCAGTGTTAGAGAGTTTTTTTTTATCTAAATTAATAATGGCAACTCTTAAATGTTAAATCAGTTATAGTTGCCCGAATCCTGAATCCTCATCTCAACATATTGTGAATGTCAAGGCTAAACTTAACGGTATGTACATTTTAACTTGTAATGTCAATAGCCGGTATACGTGTAATGTAAACAATAATTTGTTGTTTTCATTTATTTCCTTTGAAAAAAAGTTAACTCTGACACATTGTTCTCAACACTCAAAGATATCGTAACTTAACTCGTTATTTATTGCAAATGTTACGCCCCCATTAAAATAAATATTAAGACCCGCCGTTTAAAAACATTTTTATGTTGATCAAGACACATGCACTGTTTTCTTTTTGTTAAAATCATTTTTCACGACATAATTCTCTGTGGTAAAAATTTATTGCCACCGAAGTCCAATTTTTTGTACATCTATTTTTGAAAATAATCAAATATGTGTAATATCATTAACGGTTCTTGCTTCCATTTATTCGTTAATTTTATCATTGCATTTCGTGGCAATTTCCAAAAATAAAGAAACATCTCAATCACTATTTATTAAAATGTTTTAAAATGGAACTCATGAAAACTGTGTTAAGCCTTCGTGGTCTGATCACTTAATCTTTTATCTTTTTCTTATAATGAAAAACAATAAAACATTTTATTGTCGTAATAAATAGATATAGCCCCCGGCTCGTGTTATTTTTCGTAGTATTTTGACCAATCCCAGATGTGACCGATAATATTTAATGTAAACAATTAACATATTACGCTCTCAAGTGTTATTCAACATCTTTGCTTTTTGTACCTTATAAAACACTTTTACGAACACCATTGGCATTCGAACTGGTGATCTCGGAATTCACCAAAACCGCTCTCCAGCCCCTGAGTTGCCACTGCTAATCGTGTACGAACATTTAGTAACGACTAAGTTAAACGAAATCTTTATCTCATGCCCATTAACATAAATTCGTCACAGATAAAAACTACGTAATAGACACAGACGTACGGTAATTGTTAAGGTTTGGTACAAAGGTTTAGAATGGTGCTATTCAATAAACTGTTTTAGGGAATGTATTTACTGTACGCAAGAATGGATGCAATGGTAATTGATTCTTTTATTGATTTTTTTTACGTGATTATTAAAAATTATTTAATAAAAGTGGGAATTTACCGAGATTAACTTTAAATCCCCAACTTTGCGAACACTACAGCATTGTACTACTTTTGTAGGGCCACTGTCCATGAGCGGCTGTTACCACTTAACTTGAGGTGCTTCCACCAGCTCGCATGCATTCTAACATAAAAAAATAAATTAAAGGCGATCCGTCAATGTTTCAATTATCAATATAACTGCTTACATGTTACTTGAATTATTATGTAATAGTATTTTAGTATTTTCATTAATTTAACTCGAGTAAGGCTCAAGCTAGTTTCTGCTATTACACGAATTAGCAGTCTCGTCCGGGGAAATCCACGGCCATAAACAAGACGGGCGTGAATTGAAAATATCATATTTATATTGTTTGGGAGCGCATCTGCAACAATTAAGGTATTGTAGACTTAACATCACTTAACATCAGATGAACCGCTTCCTCTTCTCTTTAATCTATAACTTTAGCCATTAATAAACCATATAATGAAAAACGTGATTTATAATCACATTTACCACAAAGTCACCTTAGTTTCAAAGTAATTCTTTGTTGGCAGTATGTTCACAAATGCATTGTAATAAATTTTACTACACATCGGCAACCAAGATCCAAGTGTATGCGCACACGTGTAATAAGCATAATTATGTGATATTACCTCGGCATTGTTGACTCAAGTGTCGACGACTTTCCGTTGAGCGTATGTATAACCATAAAAGTTTTAAAACAATAGGACCAGCTTCCTCGCTCCATCTTGGTATAGAGGCCAACCCGTTACGTTAAATTTTCCGTTTCATAAACCGTGCAATTTCAAACATCGGTTTTCGAACTCTAAGTATAAGTATGTTTTATAATAAATTTAGCGTACACGTCAGACGTCCGGTGGACCTCCTTTTGAACCCACTTTGAAGTCTATTGAAATGATAACCGGAGAGTGTTTAATTGCCTATTTACATATACGAAGGGAACGAGGTTGAACTCGTATTCATTTTAGTACACAGCCCATAATTGGTTTTTAAAGAAATATGCGTTTTGTCTCGTTCCATTCGTTTGTTAACTTCAAATTAAAACATTAACGAAATTTCAATTCTATTACAACTTGTACCTACACCTATATATATATATATAACCTAATCTAGTTATCGCAGACAATTTATAGCATTCTTTGATTGAGCATTGAACATATCTCTTAATATTCAAGCAAGGTAAACATTTTACTCAATAATTACAATTGTTTATCGCCTTCCACCTTCGTCTTCGTTAACAGGAAAGAAATCCTCGTTTCGCGAGTGATTGTTCCCGAAATCTGATATGTGTGTTGGAAGCAGAGGGAATATTTCCATTCGTATTGTTTTTAAATAAATTCCTGTCAGTTACATATTTCACATTGGCTAGTCGCCTGCGTTGTCATAAAGGTAAAATTAAGTACATTAGTGCCGCTGAGAAAACTATACAAATTTTTTATTTTTGTTACAGATTGTCTAAACAATTCGACAACTCTTCGTACGAGATGTGCGCGTCGAAAACTACCGGTGGAATAGAGAGCATCATAAAAAGGGATGAAGACTACTTAATCAAATTCAAAACCGGTGAAATTGGAAAAGTTTACGTTGTGAACGGCCACGTATTCAGATATTACGTGTCACCAAATGGGGTCTTTATAGACTATCCGGTACCGAACAATCCAGAAGATGTTGCTAAAATAACTGTCAAAGATATAGCGGTTTACGATAAAGCAGCCTTTGAGGAATCTAGCGTACAGGAACTCGACAAGTACTATCGCGTTGACATAAATAAAGTTCAAATACAGTTCGATAAGATAAAGGGAACAATTGCAGTGTTCGATAAGAGAACTAACAAAGACGTGATGAAGGAATCGATACCTATTTCTTACGACGATGAAGCATCGACGCAGACATTGCATCAAAACAAAGACGAGTACTTCTTCGGAGGGGGCATGCAAAACGGAAGGTTCACGCACAAGGGGAAAATCATACACATTGTCAACACCAACAACTGGGTAGACGGCGGCGTCACCTCGCCTTGCCCTTTCTACTGGTCCACGAGCGGCTATGGGGTGCTGAGAAATACTTGGCAGCCCGGTGTCTACGATTTCGGCAGCGAATCACCGGACACAGTGACAACCACCCACAGGGGGGACTATTTCGACGCGTTCTACTTCGTCAACCAGCGACCGGTCGATTTGCTGCGCGATTACTTTGAATTGACCGGGCGACCGATCTTCTTGCCTGAGTACGCGTTCTACGAGGCGCATTTGAACGCGTTCAATCGCGACTATTGGGTCCAGGTCGAGGAGGGGACGCGTGGCGCGATCTTGTTCGAGGACGGCCGCTACTACAAGAGCTACAAGCCAAATGAAATAGGCGACAAGCACGGCATACTGGAGTCGCTTAACGGGGAGAAGGACAACTACCAGTTCTCGGCGCGCGCGATGATCGATCGCTACAAGAGGCACGATATGCCGTTGGGCTGGTTCATACCGAACGACGGCTACGGGTCGGGTTACGGGCAAACGGACAGTCTAGACGGGGACATCGAGAATCTGAGGGAGTTTGCCGACTACGCGCGGGCGCAAGGCGTAGAGGTCGCGCTTTGGACCGAGTCTAACTTGCACCCTGCCGACCCAGAGCACCCCAAAAAGGGGGAGAGGGACTTGGGCAAGGAGCTCAGCGTGGCCAAGGTCGTGGCGCTGAAATGCGACGTCGCCTGGATCGGCTACGGTTACTCGTTCGCGCTGAACGCGGTGGATGACGTCACCAAGATATTCGTCTCTAAGACGAACGTCAGGCCGACGATAATTATGGTCGACGGGTGGGCGGGCACACAGCGCTACTCCGGCATATGGAGCGGGGACCAAACCGGCGGACAGTGGGAGTACATACGGTTCCACATACCGACATACATCGGATCAGGGCTGTCGGGGCAGCCAGTGGTCGGTTCCGACATGGACGGCATATACGGCGGGAAAGAGCGGGATGTCAACATCCGCGACTACCAATGGAAGGCGTTCACGCCACTGCAACTAAACATGGACGGCTGGGGAAACATACCGAAGACGCCGTTCACTTTCGACGAAGAAGCGGCCCGCATAAACAGGGCCTATTTGAAGCTGAAATCTATGTTTCTACCTTACAACTATACGATAGGCCACGAATCGATCGAAGGCTTGCCGATGATCAGGGCGATGTTCCTGGAATATCCAAAAGATGCCGTTGGCTACACCAAGGATTGCCAATATCAGTACATGTGGGGCCCGTGGGTTTTAGTCGCGCCGGTTTATAGAGAGGGCTCCAAGCGCGATGGAGTCTACTTGCCAGATAAGAATCAGATTTGGATAGATTATTTCACGGGCGACAAGTATCGTGGCGGTATTGTGCTCAACAATCTCGCGACGCCCCTTTGGAAGATTCCAGTGTTCATAAAAGACGGCGCCATTATACCGATGACGAAACCTAACAACAATCCGAACGAGATCGACAGGAGCAAACGTATATTCACCATTTACCCGAATAAGGAATCCAAGTTTGATGTATACGAAGACGACAGAATATCGTCAGATTATCTGAAGGGTCGGTGCGCTACCACCGAGATCGTTGTGAACGGCCCGCGTTCTAACAGTCAAGGGGACCTTTTGATAAGCATCGACAAGACAAGAGGAGAATACGAGGGGATGATTAAAGAAAGGTCCACTCTGCTCCAGATTATGGCGTCGAAGGACGTGGATCAAGTGAAAGCGGCCGTAAACGGCGAAACTATGGTAATGACCAAAGCGAACGGTTACGACGATTTCGAAAGATCCGTTAACGCGTATTACTTTAAGGAGGATTTCGAAGTCAATCCTTACTTGAGCTCGTATAATGTTTTGCAATCGGTACTGTTGATAAAAGTTGGCGAGCACGACGTTACCACTCATCACGTTCAGATAAAAGTGTCGGGTTACGCGAACGAGGGGAAGGTCTTCGGCGAGAAAGATGGTCGCGACGAGAGATTGGACCCACCGAAGGGATTCAAAGTCCTGGACGATGCTTTAACACCGACGACAATCACCGTGCACTGGTCTAGAGTGGACGAAGCCTCGTATTACGAGATCGAGAGGGACGGTGTCGTGTTCAGCAATTTGCAAGGCGACAGTTTCACGTTCGAGGGGTTCGAGCACGATACGAAACACGTGTTCAGGGTACGCGCGGCGAAAGATGGTGTGTCGGAGTGGAGCGAGCGCGTTGAAGTCCAAACGCTGCAAGATCCCTACAGGAGCGTGGTGAAAGGCGTCAGAGTGGCGTGCAACATCCCCTGCCAGCCGTGCCAGGAGATCTGCCACTTGACGAACGGCGACCTCACCTCGCTGTGGCACACCCATTGGCACAAGACGCCTACCGGAGAGAAGAAAGGGGAGGCACTAAAGCTCAGCTTCGATCTGGGGGACGTTTACGAATTGGCGAGATTCGAATACACGCCCCGCGAGGACGCCGGCAACGGGACCTTCTTGAAGATTCGCCACAAGTATTCCGTTGACGGTGAAAAATGGAGCCCGCTGTCGGATACCATCGCGTGGGTACGCGACGCCTCAGTGAAGAGCGTCGACTTGTACGGGGCCGCGATGAGATACATCGAAATACACATATTGGATACCGTCGGCGGTTTCGGTTCCGGGAGACAGATGCGGTTCTTCAAGAAGGTTTGAGGTATATTCAATAACGCTAGTGTCATAAAATGAATGTTATTACTCATTTTCAATGTAAAACACACGTAGATAGGTACACCACTGTATTATAGCACTGTAAGCGTATAAACAACGCATGCGTTCACAATATCCGGGAGATAGATTCGATTCCAAAAGGTGTGAGGTGTCATCAATAATGCCAGTATCCTAAGAAAAAAAGACATTACTTATTTTCCAAGTACAACTCGCGTAGACGAGCACACTGTATTATATCACTTAGCATATAAACAACGCAAGCGTTCACTGCATTCGGCTGCCAACAGGGACAGAGCTATAAATCAGACGAAAAACACACACACACACACAAACACGCCGCGCTTAGGTCTGCTGCAACTCGTCGGCGCTCCTGACCGCTATTATCGTGCACGTCGCCGACTGGGCGTCGAACACGCAACTTATAGAGAGGTCCTCCAACACGCAGCTGTACTCGTGGTCCGGATAGCGGTTCCTCACGTAGAGGGAGCGGGGGTCTTCGCGCAGCAGGCCCTCTATATTCGCCCTGAACGCCCCTGCCCGCTCTCCGATCAGCTCGTGCAGCCTCTGTAACGCGTCTTCCGTGAACCTGACGCCGTAGGTCTGGGTAGGCGGGCTGGATATCCAGGGGGCTACCCTCACGCCGTCCTGCCGGGCCGCAAACTGCGCCAGCCCCGAATGTGGGGGGGTGAATCTCTCTTGGCCGTCAGGGGCGCCCCTTTCGGCGTCCGGCCGCCTGGGGAGAGGAGCGTCTTGGTAGATCCCATCCGTTATGTCTATACTCGAGTGGGAATCCGTCGACGGGGTCGGCGTCAGTCTCTGATGGTCTTCTGTCGGCGAGATTTCGTCGTACAGCGAGTGGGCGGGGCTGACGGCACCGAAGACGATCGGGCTGAAACGGTTCGATATAGATTATAATCGGCATAGAAGTCCTATGGAAGTGGGGTCAACCAATTGTAGGCTTACCCTCTGGATATTCTTTAAAAATAGTGAAGAGTGGTCCAAATAAGGAAGTGGGGTCACCCAACGTTAATAGTACCGCTTGATATTTTAAAAATAGTAAAGTGTGGCCCCAATAAGGAAGTGGGGTGAGCCAATTGTAATCGTGTCCTCTACATATCCTTAAAAATAGTAGACCCAAATAAGGGAGGGAGAAAGCAGCAGCTTGTTGCTCGAATGGGCAGTCCCGTCCGGGGAAAGAACAGTAGTGAAAGTGAAAGTATTACACTTATGCGTTTCGTCTAGTGAGTTAGCTTACTTCCCTTAATGGTATAAAAAAAAAAGTCCTGCCGAGTTTCTTTCGCCGGTTCTTCTCAGGTCAGTGGCTTTTCGTTCGGAACCGGTGGTAGCGTTTTTACAATTAATAAATAAGTGTAATGCTTCTATATTGAATAAAGGTATTTGATTTTGTTTTTGATCCCACTTCTTCAGAAGATTGGCAAAGCATTTGCAGAAATAATGCAATAGAAATAAATCGTTGGGTCGTTGCCGACACCGCATATAAAAAAACTAAAACAAAGGTTTTCCGGACACTGAGCTAACACGACCTTCTTGTATAATAATATTTTAGAGTAAGAAAAACAAATCATGTTTATACTCCATCTCTATACAGCGTGTCGTTACCATCGCGACAATAAATGAACACACGTCTAACGCTACTGGCCAATCATAAAAAAATATTAACGTTAAACAAAATCCATAATTAAAAAAAAATATTTTTCAAACAAACTAATTAAGTAAAAAAGAAACAAAATTTGTAACACCTATACAACTCGCGCCACAGTCGTATTACAAACTTCTCCTTCTAACAGTATGTTTTGTCTCTTTTAAATTCATTCATATGCTTTGTGACCTTTACAAATGAACTTTACGTTACGCTTTTATAGGTAAGGGTGTTCTAAAATTCTTTGTTTTGGAAAATTTAATAACTCTGTAAATATTGATGTTTAAAGAATTTAAATGTTTAATACAACTTTAAAAAGTTATCCCCTATATGTGTGTTCATTTATTGTCGTGATGGTAACGACACGCTGTATACGGAAATATTTTTACCTTTATACAATTGATGATTGATGTATTAAAATAATAACATATAATAAAACTAAATTATAACTTATACTAATTGAGTTGAATCTTTCCTACGGCAGCAATGTTTATTCACCTAAAACATACGGTAAAATTTGTAGCCTATAGACAATATGCTCATTTTATTAATTTAGAACTTAGAGTAGGATAAACATTAAACTGTATTGTAAGGACGTTGTAAATACATAAATTTTACAAGGACAAACACCTGAGTGTTTCGGACCTAGATCTGTAACAACTATCTGTGGGCCGCACAAATAGTTATTCCGTGTGGGAATCGAACCCAAAGGCCGATTTACATTGTTTTAATAAACGTTATTACGTAATTTATCCTTGATTCCTTGAATCATCACGTTCGAGGGCGGTTGTCAATGATTCAAACACCATTTTAATTGACGCTATAAACGACATGTAAACAAGAAGCATAAAAAAAGTATTTTCCAAATCACAATGTGTTGAAAAACTTCTAAAGAATGTACGACAATGCCATCTATTGACAATTTGTTTAAACAAAACAGCGAAGTCGATTAATATTTACCGATATTCCTCATAATACGATAAGGTTTCATTGATAAATACTTAATAACACAATATTAATATTACCATTATGTGACTGATCACAGTAATTGATACGTACGAAATTTACCTACTGGTCAAGAAGTACTTTTTAATAAATTTAGCCCAACGACTTTAGGCATCATGTGAGTCATATTGCTACATGACTTTTCTATGTCAAAAGTCAAAGTATATTTATTCAATATAGGCCTAACTTAAGCTCTTATTGAACGTCAACAAAAAAATCTACCACCGGTTCACTAAACTAGACCTGCACAGAGAAGAACCGGCAAGAAACTCTGCAGTCTTGTTCTTTTTGTTATATATATTTTTTTATGCAATTATACACACTTATTTAGGTATAAAATCAGCAGCAGCCAGGGAATGGGAATAGATACATCGACAGTCGTTTATCTGCGCATCGCAAGAATCGAACCCAAGACCTCCGGCGCCGAAGGAGAAATCTCAGAGCAAATGCGGCACTGAGTCTTGCTGGTGTAAAAATGAATTCTATAAAGAAAAAAACCACCTCCTAGCACCAAAATCGTCGTCGACCCGCAGGCTTCCGAGACCCTCGACCATGTCGCTGATGCCCTCTGTGGGGGGGCGAACTGATGCCAGGTCCGGGAGGGGCGTCGGACAGTCGTATGGGGGGATGTAGGGCTTGATGTCCAAAACGGGGGTGCCGTTCACCATGTCCACGCCCTCGAAGTGGATCCTGTTGCCTGGAAGTTACAAGGGGCGAAACATCACGCAATGCACCAAGGCGGGTTAAATTAAGACTGTGGTGGGGCAGAAAAATTACTGTTGTTGGCAACATTCAAATGTTGAATAGTGTCAACATTGGAAGTACCAAAGACCTAGGAGACCAGTTCAATGTTAGCTAAACTATACTATACTATATATACTATTAGAGGTTAGTTATAAAACATAGCTTTTACGTCGGTAAGTCGGTAATAAGTCGTTATACAACTAATCTCAATAATACTAAGCTTTTTCAGCAGAGATTGTTACAGACAAGTTATAAAACATAGCTTTTACCGACTTATACAACTATAACTCAACAATTACTCAATAATTGGATAACAATAGCACTTAGCTTTTCCAGCAGAGCAACAGCCTTAATTTCCAATAACCAAAAACTAACCCGCGTACGTTATGAGAGTTGAATTCATAACCCTCAAAAACAAATACCAACCACCCCCCACCCTAGGGTGTAGGAAACATCACGACGCAATAGGTATCAAAACCAACAACTTTTAAATAAATCACAACAATACTTTCGCGTTTCTTACAGTATACATTTTTTTTTCTTTGTTTTATGGAATAAGAACGCAAACGAGCAAGCGGACACCTAATGGTAAACGATCACCGCCGCCCATGGACTTTTGCATCGGATGAGTCACGATTGCGTAGCCGGCCTTTTACGTAGGAGTAGGCTTCCCGAAGTCACCTAAAGTCGAATAATAATTATGAGCTCCACTATAAAAGTAAAAACGCAAGTACACCAACCATTTTCTAGGTAATGACCTGATGATAAGTGATTAGCTGCCCATAGTCACTCGCAATGCCTTTGGATGCTACGGCCTCACAGAAGACCGGCGTGAAGTGGAAGTATAATACTTTCAGTTCATGCCCAACTTCTGTGAGTTTGGCGTTTCTGGTAAGTGGGGTAACCGAGGCTCAGTTTTAAAGTCTCTCAATGTTGGATTGGAAGAGTTCCCTGATTTATCCCCGGAGCCCTAGGTTCAATACCATGAAATAAAATAAAATACAAATAAACATAAAATACAATAAGATGAATCACGTAAGAGCTAAGCTGAACCCAACTGGTTTTTTTCTATTTTTTTTATTCATAAAGAATCGTATTGAGACCCTCGTGTTTTTTGAAGTCGGTGGAAAAGAAACGAAGGCACGCCTGTCTTCACGCGTATCAACGTTGGATCCAGTTGTTATGCAGATTTTTGTTATGGGCTGTCCATAAATAACCTCTTCGAATGAAAGCATTCAAACATTGTATCATAGGGATGGGGCATAATACAATACAAAAGTCACCTTCGATGGTTCGAGCCGTGACAGCTCAGTGTCCGGGCGCTCGCCTTTAATTCAATATACTCGAGCAACCTGAGTTCAATCCCCGGTGCCGGCACCAATGAAGTTTTTAACTTTAAGTGCTGACTTATCATGTGCTCCGCGGTGAAGGAAAACATCGTGAGGAAACCTGCATATTTTCGAAATAATAACAAAAAAAATGTATTTCGAAAATATGTGAAGTCCGCCAATCCACAGTGGGGCCGCGTGGTGGACTATGCCCTGATACCCTCTCTATAGAGGAGGCCTTTGCCCAGCAGTGGGACATGTATAGGCTGTTACTTTACTTTACTTTTTTTACCTTCGATGCTCGATATCTTGACCAGGGAGAGTCCGATCGGGCACGGCCTGTGAGGTGATCGGGTGGAGAAGACGCCCCTCCGCTCCCCGCCCAGGCGCGGCGGTGTGACCTTGGCGGGAACGTTTGTGCTCTCCGTCGCGTGGAAATGGAATATTATCCTGCAATGATCCATACATGCAACCGTTAGAAAGTATCATTTCGCCCTGTTGGAGTCCCCTGCTTCTTTATTATGTGAGAAGGTGCCTTGGAGCCCCATTGTTTCTACATCATAAATTTAATCAAAGTTATTTTTGTAAAATATTTCCTTTTATGTTTTATGGTGTTCAATAAAACATAATTATATAAATAAGGTGGCAGGCGAGCTGGCTGGATGTTAAGTGATAGCCGCTGCCCATAGACTTTCGCTACACCGGTAGGGTTGCAGATGCCTACACCTTTATAGTAAAATGGGCCCCGGCTATCTCACTCCCCAGACGAAAGTAGAAGTATAACACTTCCACTTCACGCCTGTCCCCTGCAGAGGATAAGCCTCCCCCACAGACTGCCCCGAAGCACGTTCCTGAGCAACCTGCATCCATCTATTTCTTACACATTTGCACAGCTCGTCATTTTTTTTTAAATTTTACAATATCACACCAAATGTTTAGTGTGCAAAGTGGTCTTAATACCACACTAAACATAACAGAAAAAAAATATAACAAAGATTTAATAAGTCTTCGCGGTTTGTTACATATATAACGAATAGTTTAGTTAAGTTAATATTAATACATAATAATTTTGTGATATGTACATAAAGATATAATTTTTATTATAAATATAATGTAAAGATTAAAGGGGGGGACGGCGCGTACGCAGTCCCCACTACCAAAAATAACGCGTCCGAGTTATCCACATTAGGGATAATCGCAGGGGTCAACCCAACCGCAGTGCAATGGGAGAGCCTCGCCCTGGGGGAACCGCCTTCTTGATCACGGTATCCCCTACGCCAGGTAAGTATGAATTACGAACGGCGCGCCGCAGACCTCATTCGCTCAGCAAAAATCTCAACATCGCGATGCAGAAATATTGACGAAGTTACTTACGCCATCTATTGAAGACAACAGGAGAATAACTCAAAACGTTAACTTTTATCTCAGCGCCATCTATTGAAAAATAGTTACTCTATAAAATTTAAATTTCTGATTCAAATTTTAACCTTTTGATTTTTAAATAATAATATGTCAATACATATCGCATTTTTTATGGAGATGTTTCATAAAATTAACTGAGAATAATCATATCTACATAAATAAATATTGTTTTAATTCATACACAAAACCACAAATAAATAAAAGTAGTAATATTTAAAAGAAAAATAATAGTACAAACCATATGTGAGAAAACTCTTCTAAGCCAATCAAAGCATGCTCTGGGTTGTTGAAGACATTTGAATCAATAACAATAACACCCCTTGCTTTGGACAGGACTGAGGGCTGCCTCGGCACACCACGCTTGTTCTCAAATGAGGTTTCAATGTATCCAATAGGTTTAAATGTTACAAAACCAGTACAGTCAGATGTTGTTGGTGTATTTACTTCACTAGGGTGTATTATTGTTGTAGCTGAAACATACAAATAAAAACTCATATTTTACATTGTAATACACAATGTACATAGATGTAATGCACAATGTATATAAAGAATGAATAAGTTATATAATTGTAACATTAAATATAACACTGTGAAATCTGTACATTACTGTAACATAAAATTCCCTCTTATGATGAAAAATAATTTTTAATATCCTAATAGAAATTACTCATAATTGATGTAATTTCTTTTAACATAAATTTTAAAAGATTGATTTAATTTTTTCCTTTTTATCCAAAGTTTATTATAATGAACGTATGAACTTTACTTGTTTTTTAAGTTGAACATAAAGTTATTGTAACAATAATTTTACCTAAAAATCACAAATATTGACACAATGTGAAATATAATTTTTTAAATTTAAAAGAATAATATTATGTGACTTCCACTGCCATTTAAACTTTCACCAATCAAATGTTCAGCAAACAAGTTTTACATTGAATTTTATAACATATAAAAATTGTTTTTAAATCATAGTCTTACCAGCTTCAGCACAATTAGCACAACGAAGTCCATTCAGGGTTGATTTAATACTTTTAATTTCTTTATTATGCTCATATTTCAACGCTGATAGTTTTTGCCTGAAGAAGTATAATAGGGTTTTGATTTATTCATGCATGCAGTAACATTAAAACGAAAGCCTCGGTTATCTTACCTTAAATTTTTTATTTCTGTTCTAGCTAAAACTATTTGATTCATATAAAAATCTATGTTTTCTGCCATTCCTAAGTTTCAAATTTCTGAAATATTGGCAAATCACAAATTGAAAATGAATGAAGCCTAGCTTTGTAAACAAGACAAGACACAAGATCAAAAAGCAAGATTATATGTCTAAGTGACAGTTACGCCAGACACAGTGTTGACAACTAATTTTAAAAAATAGCCCCAGGTGAAAGACCCCTAAACAACCCCAAAAAATAAAATTTTCAAAAGCCCCAAAATTCCCTGACACATTTTATTAAGGGAAATAAATATAACTTAATTTTAAAATAATTTTCATTACAAATAGTTGAAATAAATAACAAAACATCATTATCTAAAATTATTAACTAAAATTTCATAAATTACATGCATTTAGAGATATTGTTTTCTTTACTCATTTTTGTTAGCTGTAGGGATGTATCAAATAATATTCATGCACCAAAAATTTACCTAAAGTTTTTGGGACCCAAATGGAAAGCCCATTGTGCATATATCCACCCCAAATTTGGGGCTAAAAGCCCTAAGATGGCAGCACTGACGAGACAGCACAGATTCGTATCAGTAATTCGGTATTCGGTTATTTTGATTATATTATAACACTGTAACCAACCGTGAGGCGACGAGATGAAAGAACACCCCTGTTCTCCGGATTTTAAAACATTAAAAATATCATCTCATTAGAAAGAGCTATTTTATTACATGAACCTATATAAATCAAAGACAAATAAAACGTATCAGTCACAAGCCTAATAAAATTTTACAATAAATTAAAGAAAATAAGAATGATTATTATCAATTAAGACTATTGTATTAATGCGTGTCACTAGAGCTACTTAATTTAACTAAAATAAAATGAGTAAAATATGTAATAAGTTTAAACCTACTTCCTATACATTATTCTTCTCGTATATTCCATCCATGGCCATTCTCCTTCATCTTTATTCCGTTAGATATGGATCTCATTTTTGCAATAGTCATGCATGAAAGGAATTCTAATAAAAAGAAGAATTTAGTTGCTTATACAGCTATACTGACATTCGCAATCAAAGTTTGAAAAAAGAATATTCTCTAATTCACATTTGTATTGTTCTCTGAAAAATTTGCGTAAATAACACCATTAAAAGTGATCGTTTGGTCAATACTGTTGTAAGTTATCTTGTTTGTTAATATTAAAATATATATACGAAAAGTATGTATATAAATAATATAAAGTTTATAATTATATTTTTAGACATCTATTGAGAATATACATAAATTATTGTTTTCTAATGTAGATAATTTATATGTAACATATCGATTTTTATTTGTTTAGATTTTGTTTACAAACTGTACATATTGATTTCTGATTATAGAAACATTTTTAATGAGTATTCAGTTTATTGCTTTCTTTGTTAAATTGACTTGACGAAATAGAAATGTTTGTTTACGGTACGCCTGAAATGTTACCCGATTAATATATAATCTATTTTTTTATTATTTCGACTATAAATATTTTATTTTAGTAAAAGAATTACTTTCGATATCATACAAAAAATATTAAACATATTTTGCTTTTACTTGCCTTGATTATTCGATTTTTAAATAACATCGATAAACTACAGAAAGAAACAAACTACCCAATCACTATTGCGTTTTGCCGATTGCCGCACACGTGCTGAGATTTTGTGATATTTTTACTCAATAATTCTACTTTACAAAACTTATAGAGCGATCTAAAGCAGTACTTGTTGAGAAAAACTGTTTATTAACATCAATTCGCCGGCATCGTATTTGTGATGTGAGTTCATTTTTATTTTATTTTGACATGTTGGGTGGGGCAAAATGCCTGAAGAAAAGATCGCCACGTGTCCTAATTTTTATTTTACCTGTTAGTTTTTTAACTTACCGTTAAATTTACCTATATTCCAATTTCGTATTTCTATAATATTACTTTCCTTGACCCTAATTTTATTTATTACCTGGTCCCGGCCTTTGACCTTAATATTATTTCTATCGTATCGCACGATCTATTGTATTTGTTTAATTCCCTATTTTATAATTTCCGCGTAATTTTGATGGATATAAAATAATTTTATTTGTATCACGACTGTATTGGACAGTCTTGATACAAATAAAATTAGTTTTTAAGTTAAACAATTAAGTTTTGTTTTTACAATGAATAATAAAATAAAAAAAATATTTTAATATGAAAGAATTATTATTAAATTAAATCAAAATATTCAATAGAAATTATTTTATTCATTTAGCTTTAAATCTTTATAGACATTTATTTACTTGCTTATAACATGTTAGACTATTATAAGGTAAATATATTTTTAAATCAGTATGTAATGTTCTCTATTCATGTAATAATTGCATGTGTAAATACTCTTTGTGTAGGGGTTAAAATTGTAACTAATTTTCTAACTACCTTCAAGTACAAATTTATATGAAGCTTTGTTATAAAAATATAAAGAACTACCCTTAAAAGCATAAAATTTAAAGTATTATAAATAAATACATTATAACATTTTTAAATAAATATAATAATTTAAATTCATAATGAAAATATAATAGTTTAAATTCATATTATTTGTAGTCTTACAAGACATGTCTTTTAATATTTTAATCAAGGGGAGGTCTGTTATTAAGATGATTTGACCCCATTTTAATTTTTTCACTCCTAATATATGAGTGAAAAGATTAAAATGAGGTGGTAACATTTTTCTATACTATTATGTCCAAAACACTCATTAATAATTCCTACATATCTCTCAATTTTTTTTTCTTTTTACAATTTAATGAGTACAACATTGAATGTTTTATGTGATGATACATATATATGTAATCAACAACATATGTTTTTAAAAGATTAGGAAAGCATTAAGAAGACATTAAAGAAGCATAGATTCTAGTGGCATAAATTCTGTATTCCACTGTCATTCTAATATTACACACAATGTTGATGCAACTTTACAGAGCGTTCTTGGTGTTTATTCAAATTTAAAATGTTAATCATTAAGACTATACTCGAAAGACATTAATAAAATATAGGCACAAAAATGTTATAGTAAAAAATGTCTACAAACAAAGACAATTATTTACAATGTGTGTGTTTTTTACTTTTTGGGGCAATTAAAATCTCAATTTTTTGTTTGCAGTTATAGTTAACTAGGCTTATGGAAATGGTGTCGGAGGCAAAGGTGAATGGTGGAGATATGGAGGCTCCAACGGGTGAACTGCTCCCAGCACTTGCTGAGAAACCTGCAGGCCTCCCACCCGGCAAATACTCCCTGGTGGGGTGGGATATGGATACCACTGGAAGAAGGCTTATTGATGAAGTGAGTAGTTTAAAAACAAATAACAAAATATTTGTCAATTAAAATATTCATATGGTTTTAATCAGAACAAAATATTTGTATTTTATAATATAGGTAGTTGTTTCAAATTTTAATCAAAATTTAACAAGTTAATCCCTTGGAAATAGTGAGATATCGAGAAAAAATAGAAAAGAAAAACTTGAAAATATAGTAATATAAAGATACTGCCGTAATAAAGAATATACTACCATATTCTTCTCATTTTGTACTATTTTTTCCTGAAACCTTAAAAAAATGGCTTTAGTAGTTAATCTCATCAGTCAATAGTTAATCTCTCTATTTTAATAGATTATTGATTGTTTTTTATATATTAAGGTAGGGACCCATTTTAGTTCAGCGGCTTAGCCATGTTCTAAGTTTCATAAAATCCAGAGAGTTTTCTTAAGTGTTAGTTCATTTGTATAATACTCATTATTACAGCAGTACTTTGAATAATTCATCATATATGAAATATTAAACTATTAGATAAAAAAAACTAGTAAGATTTTAAACTTCATATTATATATATTTACTTTAGTGGCTAAGAGATTTAGAGTTTCTGGATTTCATTTACCCATGTGTACATTTGTAACATAACTCTTTGTTTTTGTCTAGTTATTATTACACAAAATTTATTTGATTTTCAGATATGCCAGATAGCTGCGTATACGCCTAAGCAATCTTACTCGCAATATATAATGCCTTATGGAGACTTGAACCCTGGTGCTCGTCGGCGTCATAATGTCAGAGTTGTTACTGTTGGAAGATATAGGATGTTAAAAGACACAAATACTCATAAGGTAATTTCAAAGCAACATAAGAAAATTGTATACTGATTTGCTGTAGGTCTGTAGGAGAATTGTATACTGTAATTTGCTGTAGGTCTATTATTGTGGCATAAAAAAAAGTTGTTTATTGACTCATATATGGATACAAATGAACGAGAGGGGAAAGCTTACCTTTTTCTTATACTATCATACTTTGAGGTAATGTGGAAAGTGTGGAAAGTGGAATCTATAATCTCAACGATATCATGTATGCCAAACTCATATTTATTTGTTTGTAAAATATCTGGCAATTTCAATTGAATAACTACAAAATGAATAACTCAATAACAAACAGATGCATGTTCTAATTCTAGCTTCTAATCTTACCATTCAAAAGTCAATTGTACTGGTCAATCCCATTGCTTACTATCTGTTGTATTCAATCTTGATATTGGCAGAATCATCAAAATTATCCTTGATAAAGCCATTAGACTAAAATTAGAATTGGATGGAGTAATTATATTCAATGTTCTTTCCTTAATCAATAATTTACTTTCGACTTACTCAAATTTAGTACAAAAGTTACCCAAAGTACAAATGTTATTTTAGAAATTTATGTTTTTAAATATTGTTACAGATACTGAAGACTAAATCTGAAATATCAGCGCTATCAGACTTTCTAGATTGGTTGGAAAAAGAAAAGGGAGATGGCAGTGTGATTTTAATTTACCACGAACCAAGACGTCTTAGCCCCACCATGTTACTAGAAGCACTTACACGGTGAGTGAAAAAAGTTTGCACAATTCACCTCAGATTGTGTTTAAAAATATTATCAGTAAAATGAAACAAAAAAAAAAGGTTTACAGGGAGATAATGCTGACCGTCCGCATATGTAACTTATTTTTGCGACTTAATTAAAAATTAAATAAAACGTGACTGATACAAGAAAAAAATCCACTATCATTTTTCAATTTCAATTCAAACGCGCCAAAAGAAGTATTACTTTGAAGTTAGTTTATACATCAATCACGAAAACCAAAAATTAAATTAACCTTAGAAGAAGCAAGCTGGTGGTTCACGTAACGTTAAGTGATAATCGCCTCCTACGGACATTTGCAACATCCGTAGGATTGCAGATACGTTGCCACCTTTATATAAAGTGGCCCCGGCTATCTCACTCACCAGGCGAAACGCAGAAGTGTAACACTTCTACTTCATGCTGGTCTTGTGTGAGGTCGTGGTACTTACCCGGACGGACCTGTCCGTTCGTGCAACGACGGTGACTGTTGCATGGCCCTTTTTTTAAGTGGAAAAGTGGCAAATGAGCTGGCGCTTCACCTGATAAGTGATAACCGCCGCCCATTGACATTTGCAACACCATTAGGGTTGCCACCTTTTAATAAAATGGCCCCGGCTACATAACACGACGAAACGCAGAAGAATTACACTTCCACTTCACGCCGGTCTTCTGTGAGGTCGTGGTACCTACCCGGACAGGGCTGCCAATTCTTGCAACAACGATAATGAGACCGTTACATGGCTTTTTTTTAAATTCTAAACTGGCCATCCCTTGACTGCCATCCCTTGACTGTCATCCCACCCGATGGTAAGTGGCGATGCAGCCGTTGATGGTGAGCGTAAACTCAGTGAAAACCTATACTCTCTTGCCTTGAAGACGCCTACGTTGTAATCAGACATGAATCGAAAGACGAACGTCCGCAGGTTATTCCTTACCTACTGGTCTCAAGGTGGTGTGAAGCCCAGTTCCTATATTCAACGAACGGCCGTTAGTTACATTGTCATTGTGAATTCGTTAAAACGAGTCGTTATGAAAGCTACGAAGTTGTGTAACTGACGGCCGATACGTTGATGGTTCCCAACCAGGGCATGAGCCGGCATCTCGCACACGCCCGTTTCAGGTACAAGCTGCTCGACCGCTTCAAGTCGATCGTGGCCGGGTTCGCGGACAGCTACGCGCTGGCGGCGGACAAGTGCAAGTCTACGGTGAAGTCGGTGTCGCTGCGCGTGTTGGCGCGCGTGCTGCTCGACGCCGACACGCTGTCGGTGGACAGCGCGCTGGACAGGGCGACGGCGGCGTACCGCATCGTGGAGCACCTCGCTCAAGGTGTGTAAACCTGACGGCGGTACGGCCACGCAACACTGTTGCATGAATGGGCCGGTCCGTCCGGGTGGGTGCCACGGCTTTTTTTTTTTTATGCGAAAAGTTGTCAAACGAGCAGACGGTTCAGTGAATGATGTTAAGTGAATACCGCCGCTCATGACAACCTTTTGAAAATAGGGCTCCGGCTACCTCACTCACCGGACGAAACGCGAAAGTATTTGTCATACTTCCACTTTACGCTGATCTTCTGTGAGGTCGTGGTACTTACCCGGACGGGCCTGCCCATTCGTGCAACAGCCGAGGCTGCTGCGTGGGCCTACCACCGTAAAGTATTCTTCGCTTCTGCTTTTCGCCTGGCGAGTGAGTTGGCCGGGGCCCTTTATTAAAAGCCTTTATTTAAAGGTGTCAACGCATTTGCAACCCTGCGGGTGGTGCAAATGTCAAACGAGCTGGCGGTTCCCCTGACGCTAAGCGATTGCCGCCGCCCATGGATTTGCGTTGCCACCTTTTAATATTGGGCCACGGCTCATTCATCACTCACCAGACGAAAAGCACAAGTGTAACTCTTCCATTCCACGGACTTTTTTTAGGTCCTAGTACTTACGTCGTGCTTTGTTTTAAAATTAAATTGAAATAAATTACCCGGACGGACTTGCCCATTCGTGTAACTGTGAAGGCTGTCGCGTGGCCTTAACAAAGTTAAATTGCTAGAGGATTCGGTATGGGGGGGGAGGTCTGTTAGAGACGTCGCCTCCCTTTTTATCGCGACGGCGGCCTACCGCATCGTGGACCTCGCTCCAGGTGCGCTTTCGGAGAGCGACGCGAGGGGATTGCTAGAGATCCGGTATGGAGGGAGGTCTGTTAGAGGTGCCGTCTTCTGAGAGCTTTTCGCGTGGGTACCACTAAAAGTTCGGTGGCCGCTTGACGCTGTGAAAATTTGTGCCCAAAATGGTTTAGGTAGGAACCAGCTCATTTCTTGGTCAAGAATAATTTCTCAGTGGTCATCATTGAGAGGTTTTTATCAAGGTGAAACGAAAGTGCAAGTTTTAATCGGAAGAATACATAATGCAGTACCGATTTAAAAAAAAAACGAAACGGATAAGAGGCACATGGCCCAAGGATTCAGACAACACTACCCACACTTAGTAGCTATGCGTGGGTAGTGTCGTCTAGGGCGATACACAAAACCATTTAGTTCGCGTCGCCTACGAGCACGGCGAGATCTACACAAATCGTACACGATACATCGTTTCAGCGATTTTACAGTCAACGGCCATTTTCACTATGCCCGTACCAAACCCTGGTGATCTTAAGGTCACCTTCAGATAACCCTGAGCACATTCGCGATCCTACCCAACGCAGAGGGCCGTAACAAGCTCGTAGGTTCTGGTTAGCCATTTGTAGTACATTAATAGTTGACGATCGAAAGCAAAAACGTTAGTTATATTGAATTAAAAAAATGTATATAAAAAGTTTGACTATTGGCGGGTTTTGAAAGTGAGATATTGTAAGTGATTGATGAATGTCATCTCTGCAATAAACTTTTTTAGTTATATACAGCGTATCGGTACCATCGCGACAATAAATGAACAGACGTCTAACGCTACTTGCCAATAATCATAAAAAAATATTAATGTTAAACAATAAATTAGTGATTTTGAATCATGTTAATTCTAACCAAATTCAATTTTTTTTAATAGTAAATTATGATTATATAGGCGAACAGCAAGAAGTTGGAGCCGGAGGCGAGGGAGCATCAGCTAGTAAAGACATGGTTGAAACAGCTCGTGTTTGGGCCCGACCTGTCCATACCGAACTTGAGGCGCTGGCAAAGCTCAAGAAGTTACTTGAAAGGTTTGTATTTTAATATCGTATTAGTCATCAATATTCCAATAATTTTCAAATATATCTAAACCTAAGGTCACCAGACATTTAGATAGATTTATCATTGTTGAACCAAAATGCAATTTCTAATCGAATACTTTAATATTCCCCTATCAACACAAATACAATTTATTATTTATGTGAATAGTTGACACACTAGCAGGCGTTCGTAAGTGGTTACCGACGCCCATTGTCATCTAAAATACCAAATGCAGATATGTTGCCCACCATTATAAAGTGGGCCCGGGCAACCTCACTCGCCTGACGAAATGCAGATGTATAAAACTTCCACTTTCCACTGTTTGACATTGTGTTACTTCCCTGGGCGAGAATGCTTAATGTGCAACAGCAGAATCAGTTCCATAGCCACACCAACAGTCTATGCTCACGGAAGACCGTCGTGAAATAGAGGTATTATACTTATGCATTTCGTCTGGTGAGTGAAGTAGCTGGGGCTTGCTGTGTTAAAAGGTGACATCAACAACCCTATGGGTGTTGTAAGTTACAAAATAGTTGGGATGGCATACAAATGCTGGCCAGTTTTGTATAAAAAAAGTTATGGATTGCATGCGTTCTATAGTGGAGACAAATCTCATTTCAGGCAGAACACCTTCCGGCCTGTGTTCGCTCCTCTGCTGCGTTCCGCTAGGCCAGAGCGCAAACGGGTCACCCAGTTGAGGAGGCTGCTTGCCGACGCCGGGCTGCTCTACGACCAGCTCAAAGACGCCTGGCAAGAGCAGAAGTTAACTGGTAGGTACAATTGTGCACAGTTAACTTGTCTGAATGCGCCTAAAGAGCAAAGGAACAGTTTCTGATGGCTCCGTGACGCATTTGCCAGTTATGGTCTATGACGTTCAATAAGAGCTTAAAATAAGCCTATGTTGAATAAAGAAATTTTGACTTTGACGCCGGCGCAGGGTTCGATTCCCACACGGCACAACTGTATGAAAAAAAAACTTTTAAGCACTTGCATATTGGATATATGGAAAGTATGTTAAAATAATACTATGGACACTACCTAATCTGAAAGAATTCACACACCACACACACACACACACACACACACCCTTTCTGCTATAGCAGGTCCTGCACATTTTATGCAAATCATTGTTTCATGTTTCCTCTCTCTATATAAACAATAGTTAAAATTTTCTACAAGCTACAGGAAAAATATATTGTAATCAGATTTGTTTATTTTTTATTAATCCCTCTGTAAAAAAAAATCATTTTAGGGTTAGAAAAACAATTGGAGTCATTGTCTGTATCTGCAAAAGAAGAGGACATCAAGGAGCTGATAGAAATATTCGACTGTCACTTTGATCCTGCGAAAGAACCAAAAGGTCCGAAGCCAAGAGTTAACAACAGAAATAGAGTGAGTATGTAGCCATAATTAAGTGAAAGTCAATGTTTATGAAATAAAGTTGCTGTTTTCATAAAGAAAACTTTCATTTAAAAAGTTCCTATAAAGAAAGAATGTTTGATAATGCCGATTATTGACAATTTTTTTGAATGATAAATGGCAAATGTGTAGTGATTTTACAGTTATTCTTAAAAAGATTCATTCAATTCAATTCAAATTTTAGCATAATGGCTCCATCAGGGAATAAATAAGATTCATAAATACTTACTTTGATGGTATTATATTACCATTCGGTGAAGATGAAAAAGAACCTATTTGCTGTAGCCCACAAAATAGTGATCAGAGCCTGAAGAAAAAAACCTCCAAACTATACATAGTGAAAAGATGAACTTAGGAACAGTTGTCGCCATTTCACATATGGCATGTGTAAAAAAAAAGAAAAGCATTAATTTTTTTTTTTTTATCACTTCCTTTTGTGGGTTACAAGCAAATAAGTTTTACTGCATCAATGTATAAACAGTACAATCTCGCTATTACATTAATGACGATTTGTGCGCAGGCCGCATCGTCGGCGGGTGAGACGGGCGAGGCCGAAGGCAGTACCAGTGAGTCACAAAAGAGTTCTCCGCAGAACTCTCCCAATAAGACGAGTAATGGTGAGCAAGACAGTTAAATTAGTAGGACAGCAATATTATAACCATTTACACATGGTTATAGGAATTTCCGAATTAACAAATAAAATTTATCATGAAGATTTTATATGACATGCATTGGAAAGAACAAAATGGTTAATTCTCAAACTAAAGCAGCTCTCCATGGCGAAGTCGCCAAGATTCTTCGGCGTCGGGGGTCGTGGGTTCGATTCCCATACGGGTCAACTATTTGTGTTATGCTCAGAGAATTGTTTCACATGGTTGGGTGGGTTTATGTTTGTCCGTGTCAAATTTATGTTTGTAAAACATCCTTACAACACATGATAATGTTATCCTAAAGTAAGGGCAATGTTTTTTTTAAAATAAAAATAATGGTCATTAAAAGATAAATTTAAAAGTTAAGCTACAAGATTACCTTTTAAATTATACACAGTAATTGTATTTATTCCATATTCTCTCTCCTCAGATGTGGCCGCGGGAGATTCTTCTAGTCAAACGGTCGCCGCCCAGGAGGCGGTAGCGGCCAACTAGCGGCACCAGGATCACCATGTCCCCGTTCTTAGACTTTTCTACTACCGCATTACTGTCATTTAGTGTTGTAACAGCGCCGCCATAGGGATGTGACGAAACATTTATTCGTATTATATACACGTAGGTTTAAGTCTTTGGAATTGAAAGATATTTGTTTTGCATGCATTGGTGAACGAGTTTACACGTTTATTATTGTTTTTTTTAAATCTTTTGTTAATATAAACACCAAACCTTCCCCCCCCCCCCCCCCCCATCCCTCTCATTGTTTATTTTGCTTTGCGCGTTTATATGTATAAATTGTTAGATGATAATGTAGATGAGTGCCTTAGCGACTCAACAAATGAGATATAACTTTTGTATGCCCACATTTTGACAGTTGAGCCGTAAATGTTAATGTAATTGCTGTTTTGTACAGAGTATGTATTTGCCGATTTGTTTACGATCGGCACTAAGCTCTTTCTCGTTGGGCGGGTGTTAGATGTTGTTGTGATTTATGGGGACATTGCAAGGGTTTTAATATTTTTAATAACCCAATTCTACAGCATAATTGAAGCAATATTTATTGTTTTTTTTTTTTATTACGAAGATATAGAAGTACAATATAGTACTACGTTTTATTTATTTCAAACATCCTTTTATTTATTTATTTTTTAATGTGTGCAATCACATTGGAACGGATGGACTGATTTTTACATCCGCTATTTTTTTACATTTTTTTTCGTTTCTCTTTTCACACATTGTTACTAGCCTCTACTTTTACGCATACTTCACTTTACTAATATGCTTTAGTCGCATATCACTTTACTTTTGCCATAGATAAAATTTTTACAAGGTTAAGTTTTCTTACCATACTATAAGCTATGTAATGAAAACAGTGTGTACCTATTAACTTACCTCTAATTTAGTTAGTTTTTAACATAGACTGTACATATAATTTAATTTCTTATTTTGTTCAGATCTCTAATAAATATGTAAGTCTATGATTTTGTTTATTTATGCAACCCACCTTTTGTCTATCGAAGAAATTAGACAAATTGAAGAGCAACAAATGGAACTTTAGTTCCATAGCTTTTTAAATTGATCTATCTGATAGATCAATTTAAAAGCTAAGGAACTTCAGGCAATTTTAACGTGATACTATCACGTTAAAATTGCCTGAATTTACAGGTCGCGTAAAAGTTTTCCGCTTGTGTGAAGATTTTATTTTTGTGTGATTATTTCTTGTGAGCAGGGGCTAATCTAATGTTAAAAGATTATCTATGCCCATATGGACATAGATCCCGTTGCGCGGATGCCCGAGTGAGATCTCTCATGACAAGAAATTAACACATTTATAATTCTGCATCGAGTCGGTATCATGTTTAGGCCATGGTACTTACCTAAACTAGCTATTAGTTTCCAGCAAAATCCGCTGCGTCGCCGTAGTACAAATTGTATTGACAAAAATCGCTTTAAAACTACTGAATATTCAAGAGCACTGCTAGTGCGCATTATCCTATGAGCAAACTTAACCTGAAATTGGCTTCAAAACTTTAGCGTGTGTCATAGGAAAATGAAGGTCATTTCTACAATGTATTTAAATATAAAAAATGATGTTCATACATATATATCTATGTAAACTAGCTGGCCCGCGCAAGTACCGGGTACTACGGTAAGTAACAGGTACTCTATTTAACCTAGTAAAAATAACTCGCTGCTAGTACTACCGGTAAATCCAGCCAGAACAAAACAACCCAGCTGATAAATTTATGTTACATCGCCATCTGTTAGAATCTTGTGGAACTCACAGATAATTATAACTATGTCTAAAATCAAATCAAATTTCAATAAAAAAAATATTGCGACTATAAATAAAGATATAAACTGTCCTATCTCTCAAGTTTGATCAAACTGCACATACTATGCAAAATTAGATTAAAATCGGTTCAGTAGTTTAGGAGTTCATCACGGACAAACAATGTGATACGTAATTTTTATATACCTACAAGCTATAAATTAGATTTAGATATCATTTTTATAATATATCGCTTATATTTTTGTATTGACCAATATCCAAGGAGGAAAAATGAATATTAATGGTAACCAAATATGAGGAC